CTCAAAATGCATCAAAGACATAGGCATTAGACTAGAGAGACACTGCATCTCTAGAATAAAAAGAAGACCCAAGTATTCATCATGTCAGCTTAGGAACTGAATTCCTCAACAACACACCTAAAGCACAAGAAGCAAAATCTAGAATCAACAAATAAGGTTTTATCAAACTAAAAAACAGCAAAGAAAAACAATGAATAACATGAAAAGGGAGCTTACAGCATAGGAGAAAATCTTTGCTACCTCTAGACCATTAATCTCCAGGACATATAAAGAACTCAAAAAACTTAACATGCAAAAAGTCAAATAATCCAATCAATAAATGGGCAAAGGAACTGAACAGACACTTTACAGAAGAAGAAATATGAATGGTTGACAAAAGTATATATATAAAGTTCAACGTCACTAGCAGAGAAATGCAAATTTAAATTATACTGAGATTCATCTCACTCCAGTCAGAATGGCAATTATCAAGAATAAAAGTAACACTAAATGTGGATGAGGATGTGGGGAAAAAGGTCCACTCATACATTTCTGGTGGGACTGAAAATTGGTACAATCACTATTGACAGATGTATGGCTATTTCTCAGAACACTTGGAATGAAATCACCATTTGTTCAGCTATCCAACTCCCTGGTATGTATTGAAAGGACTTAAAATCAGCATACTACAATGATGCAGGGAGATTAATGTTTATAGCAGCTCAATGCACAATAGCTAAGCTATGGAACCAACCTAGGTGTCCTTTAATAGGTGAATGGATAAAGAAAATGTGGTACATATTGTAGGGGTTCTGTGTTTGGGATTAGGATCTCTGATAGCATCATGACTGTGGCAGACTTGGTAGCTAAGGAAGTTTCTGGGCAAAGGCACAGAATGCCTGATTGCTAGGAGCTGCCAGCTTCTGTAGCAATGCCCTGCATGAGGATGCTCTGTCTTAGAGTCTTATCAGCCCAAACCTTGATCTCAGGCACACAGCTCCTGGGAATAAAGAAACTCCCTTGTTAGGCAACCACAATGTTTCACCAAGATCTGGTGCTCCTGAACTTGCCCAATAACAATAACTTTAAACAATGGACTTTCTTAAGAGTTAACTAAGCTCCTAACATTGAACATTGCTACTATGGTATGTAACTGAAAAATAAGGGCATAATATTGCTAACTCTGTAACCTGCCTAATGACACAATAAACAATAATATACTATGGATGCCAATGATCTAATGTAACCTATTGATATAAATAGAGCTAACAGCTTGGCCATTCTGCCATCTTTCCGCCTTCTGCATCTTGTTTATTTGCCTTTTTTAATTTTTCCCACAAAATATATACAAAGAAATATTACTCAGCCATAAAGAAGAATGAAATTATGGCTTTGCTGGTAAACGGTTGGAACTAGAGGCTCTCATGCTAAGTGAAATAAGCCAACTTCAAAAATCAGTATCGGAATATTCTCTATGAAATGAGGATGCTGACTCTCCATAGGCTGGGGGCAGGAAGGAGAGAAGGTTTGTTGGACTGGATGAGGGAAATGGGGGGAAGGGAGGAGGGATGTGAATGGGAAAGATGATAGTGTGAATGAATTATAACTTTCCTATGTTCACATATGAATATATGACCAGTGTAATTCCATGTTTTGTACAACCACAAGAATGGGAAGTTATACTCTGTTTTGTATGATATGTCAAAATATAGTCTACTGTCAGATTTACCTAAAAAGAACAAAAAAATTTAAAACGAAGAAAGTTTAAGATAATTTTCAATGAGATTTTCAAAAACTAATACATTGTTATTTCTAAAGCAGTCATTAAGCAACTTAAAATAATTTCTGTAATAGCAAAGAAAATTTCTCTTTTGCATTTTATAAGCAAATTTAATAAAACGGAGGGAAGAAAATGGATGAAAACCTACAGCAGGTACCATATCACATTGGGATTATGACATAAAATCAGATTTATAGAAAATAAAATAGCTAATAAATGATAGAAAAGCCTTTGGAAAAGTGAAAAATCTTTTTGTTAGAATGTAATAACCATTTAAGTAAAGGCTGTTTTGTATGTATTTCGAGTTCCCTAGAGTCTCCATTGTTTTTAAATAGTACATTGTATTTCATTTGTCTTTAGACAGTGACCTTCATTACACAAATTCTTTTTTAAAAAACAATGTTTCCAAATGCCTTTATCCTTTCTTATAGATAGAAAAAAAATTGATCCACTGTTAAAAATACACTACAACAATTCAATTGAGTGAGGGATACTGCTCTATCTTGGGATTTCTTTCCAATCATTCCAGGGTTCTTCTCATTAATTCTTGAACTATTGGTCTTCTTCCTCTTTCTAAATGTCTTTCTGATTTGGGGGTACTAATGTCATTATTACACTTTGGTACTTTCAGGCATCATCTAATTAACAGGTTCCGTAAAACTAATGTTTATCTAAGCATAATTACAAATGTCGTGAACATTTTTGAGAAATTAACTAGAGAAAGTGGGAAAATTATAGTGATCAAATCACAAATACTGAAGGCCTTGATAATGTAAAAATTATGAAGTTGCTAAAAACCATTAGAAATTACATGGTGGTATGGTTTAGATATTAGGTGACCCCCAAGGCTCTTGTGTGACACAGTGCAAGGAAGTTTAGAGATAAAATGATTGACAGCCTTAACCTAATCAGGACATTAATCCCCTGCTAGGGATTAACTGGCTGGTAACTGTAGGCAGGTAGGGAATACCTGGAGGAGGTGGGTCATCCGGGTTGGCCTTTTGGAGTTCATATTTTGACTGTGGTGAGGGGTGCTCCATGTCTCTGCTTCTTGGTGGCCCTGTCCCCTCCCGCTTCCTTCTACCATGCCCTCTACCATGATGTTCTTTCTTGCCTGTGACACACAGCAGAGAAGTTGGCCATCTGTGGACTGAGACTTCTGAAACTTCGAGCACCAAATGAACTTTTCTTCTTCTAAACATTTTTCTTGTCAGGTCTTTCAATCACAGGGGGTCAGAAAAGTTGACTAAAACATTCTGGAAGAAGAAGTTAGCTCGGAAGTTCTTTTTAATCTTCTTTGATAGGAGAGAAGAGGGTACTGCATAAATTTATGGAGCAAAATCAATAATCTACCTCTAGAAATTAATGTTTAAGAGGAAACTGATAGAAGACTTTAAAAATAATAAACTTCAAAGCCAGGCACAGTGGTGCATGCCTGTAATCCCAGCTGCTCAGGAAGCTGAGACAGGAGGATCATGAGTTCAAAGCCAGCCTCAGCAATGGCAAGGTTCTAAGCAACCCAGAGAGACCCTGTCTCTAAATAAAATACAAAACATGGCTGGGGATGTGGCTTAGTAGCTGAGTGCCCCTGAGTTCAGCCCCTGATTCCAAAAAAAATTAAATAAATAACCTTTGAAATGGGGTAATCGAAGATGACAATATTGAGATTTTTTTCCTGATATAGCAAGGAGTAAATGAATATTCCTTCAAGAAGACATATTAAAGAATATTTATAGATACATAAATTTATAAAGTCAATCATCTATAGGAGTATAATGGGAACATTCAAGGGCAGGATCTCTGAAAGTGAGACTGACAGCAGCAAATGAAGTTTTCCAAGAAAGGTATATTTCATTTGAAACTTTGATGCTTTGCCAACTTTTTCTCATGCTTTAGTTTATTAAAAGAATATTAGACATGCCTTTTAAACAAGAATAGATGTTTCACTAATGTTGCACAACAAAAAATCCTGGAAACTTTTGAGAAAATGGACACATACATCTTAAGAAAAATTTATATTAGGTACTTGTTCTGTGAAACATGATTGAGAGAATATATACTTAGTACTCATCAGATATTATCTGTAGTTATAGTGACATAATTATAATAGTTGCAGTATTATACTTTATGCACTAACGAAAAGCTTCTGTTCATTTGTATTCCATGTAAAAATTTGGACTACTTTGGGAAAAGGCCCACACAAATAAGTCGTAACATTATTAACCGTCCTTTAAGAAATACAAGAAAACCACTGGATTTCTTTCCCCAGTCTTAATTCATAATGAAAAAAATCAAAACTGATTTTTAAAGAGATTTGAATTGTTAAAGAGGTCAGAGTTGTAAGTTTGAATTATTATTTCTAGAAATAAACACGTGTATATTTTTACTTGTTTATGCTGGTTTTTTTTGTAAAAGTCATTTAAAATGTGTTCATTTCATAGAAATATCCATATTTACATTCATAAAATGTATGCTTTTTGTTTAATTAATAGTTTGGAACATTTTTCAAATATTTTCATCCTCCTAATCTCTAAAGATGTTCTCAAGTATATTCCAACATAAAATCAATTTTAACAGATTCAATATTTGATTAGATTTCTTAGGTAGTGCTACATTATCATTTAAAGACCATGTTAATACTAGGGTATTAAATTCAATCTAATGTAATGTTCTATGTTGCAAAATCAGCAGCAATTCAAATGAAAAACAATAGGAAAGGATCATTTAAATTCACAATTAATCCATCGACCAATCTAATAAGCTGCTCTGTCATTCTCTAACAAAAATATGAATATTTCTTTGACAAAAAAATCATTTTATTTGCACCAGAAACTACTTGTTTCACAGAACAAATGCTCATATAACTTGTATAAGTAATAGTAAAAATAAGCCTGATATCTAGAAATTATTACTTAGCTTATTCTTTTGTATGTGTGCATGTGTGTTGTGTGCATTTCCTCTGCCTGAGAACATAGTTTAATTGCTCTATAAACTTTAAAGAGTTTTAAAAATTGCCATAAAATTAAATGAGATAAAACCTAAGCTAAGTAAAGTGTCACTCCGTTGAACTAATTTTTTTTGTTTTGCTTTTTTTTCACAAAGTGATATAAAAGGGTCAGCACCATTAAAGTTTTATAGCAACTCCGAAATCAAGTTGACACAATGTTTTTCCAGTTTTTAAAATGCCCTATACTCTGTAAAATGTGAATTGAAATTAACACAGAACAATAAGAAAACAGACCTTTCAAGGAGAGGCTGGGTTGAATTCCAGGCTCAGGACAGCAGGAGCTGATCAGCTTCTCTTCAGTGTGGTTCTCAGTCTGCTTCCTTGTCAAACAGAGTGGAACAGAGCAGACTTGGAAGGCATCTTTTCCTAAAAGCAACCACCCTTTGAATAAAAACAAAATAAGACAGTAACAAATTAAAATGTTTCCCAAATGATTGATCTGTATTCTTGACACTGATTGACACAATAGATATCCATTTTAAGTACCACTGGTTGCCAGCCAGGGACACAATCTAGTGATGTACTGGCCGTGCTTCATAATGCAAGAGAAAAACAGCATTGTTTATGCTATTTGAAACTCCTCTTAGTTGTAGCTTAAGACAAATTTGCAATTCACATATATGGTTCACTGGTCATCCACATGAGGACTGGAATTCTTGCTCAAAAGCATAAAAGCATACTTTATGAGGATGGTCAAATTTACCACTAGAAGATAATGTTGTAAGGAGCAAAACTGTTCTACTTTTACCTTAAAAGGAACTAAAGCCACAGGGTGACAGACAGTGCAAATCAGGAAAATTGTTACCACCCAACACATGATCTTCTTTTTTTCTTTTTTCCCTCACCACACATTAATCCTGCAAAAGCTCTCACCTTCCTTTGCATATTCATATGTCTCACAGGAAGTTGATCTCTTATATATTCCTGGAGGAACAGAGACGACCTGAATATATGTACAACTTTCACCCTTGCTAAGAATTGGCTGGAGTAAGGGCTAACCATTAAGTATGGCTCATGACTGAAGTGTGGCTATCTTCCTGACAGGGATCTCTCATCCTTCTAGTAATCCCCATAAGAGCCTGTTGGTTTAGCTTTGATGTTCTTCTATCTTTTCTTGTATAGATGTTTATCCAGAAGTGCTAAGCCCTCATTTGTGGTTGCATAAGCCTAAGCTGCAAAACTGAGGAGAGCAGCACCAGAAAGGTGTAGAGTAGATCCAATGAAGACATCACTCAACCACTCAAGTGACGAAGCTCTGCACCTACCTTGCTGTTGGGCTTCTTGTTTGATGTGATAGTGCTTGTCCTTACAGCGTATGCTAATGCACATTGACTAAATAGGATACCAGCTTTCTGTGCTGGCGTAGCCTATACCTTCCCAGGATATGCCCTGTTTTGGAATTGCATACGAAGAATAGTGGGGAAGAGGAGGAGAGTTTATCAGTTATACCAACTTTTCCCCTGCATTCATTCATTAATGTACCCCTTTATTCATGTTCAGAAGTTGAATGAGTAGGATATCATTCTATACTTTAAGGGGCACATACACATATAAAGTATTCAGGTATATTAAGCCAATACGAGTAGGGTCTAGTGGAGAAGAGGCTGCCCAATCCCTAAACAAATCCTTCCTCTAATAATTCAGTACAATTGGCCTCGATGAGTAGCTTCAGATCTGTTTGTAGCCAAATTGATATGTATAGTCATAAATAACCCTTCTCTTCAAATTGATAGAGTAAATAACAAAACGTTTCAAGGAGTGATTTAAGAAAGAAAACCAAAATCTTTGAGAGTATTTTTTACCTCTAAAGCAGAAATTCCTTTTTTTATTTGGAATTCACTATAAGGAAATAATCAGACCCAGCAAGTATTTGTTAAGTATATTGATTGCCAATCAACTTGTAACACTGAAAAATGTGAATATGACGAATCATCAACAGTAGGTGTTTTTCATAGCAAATTCTAGGCTATCCATGTAAGAGAATAATATGACATTATTTGCATATTTTGGAAATACAAGTTATATTGTTAAATGAAAAGCAGTAAGTTAAAAAAGAAAGTAAACTTGGGATCACACAGTTATGCAAAGGAAAAACAGAAACCACAAACAAAAATAACTATTTTTATCAAAGCAATATGATAATGAAAGACTTTTTAGTTCTATTTTTGTATTTTTCTGTATATCATAAGTTTTACATTCATACTCGTTGTTATAATCAGGAAATATTTTTCTTAGAGAGAATAATTATTTTTAGATATTTATTTTTTAGTTGTAGTTGGATGCAATACCGTTATTTTATTTATCTTTATGTGGTGCTGAGGATTGAACCCAGGGCCTCGTGTGTGCTAGGTGAATGCTCTACTGTGGAGCCACAACCCCAGCCCTAGGGAGAATAATTTTGATGTATAAAATGTGGCTTAGTCTTCAGTCTGACAGATAAAGAGCCTGGGAGTCATCACTCCAATCCCAACAAAACAGAAAAAGCTTCAATAAACAGAAGCCAACAACTTGTCTTGTATCCATTAGAGAATTGAGATCTCAGGGCAGTCTGCCACCCTGAAAATTGGAAAGAGGTAAATATAGAAAATAACTGCTTCTTGGAGCAGAAGCCTGTTGCTGGGCCAACACCTGTAGGAGCATATAAACTGTGATTGATAAATTGCTAGAGGCTTTAGTGTGCAAAAGCTTGAGATTTAAAAACTCAGGTGTGGAGTCATTGTTTTAAAGACAGTACCACACTTTTGAGAGTTTCATAAGCTCCCTCAGGATTTCAACGTAAAAATCAAGGAAAATTCTCCACAAAGGATGAAAGGAGTCCGTTTTGATATAAATACAGAGCCTTCTGTTCTCCGTAACAAAAATCTGCCTTTCAGAAAAACTATTTTGCTAGAGTTTAACCCACATTGGGTTTATCAGAACTCAACTGACCTGGCAGAAGGAAGGTATTCAATTCTCATACCCTCAATTCCTTCTCTCTCACCCAAGAGGAAGAGGGTATACTGAGAAGCGTTTGTGAAGATCAAAGTCTAGGGACAAAGGTTCCCTAGGAGATGGAAACCTACTCAGTACTATAAGACACTTGCCCTCAGCCCTACCTCACCTTCACAACTGAAAGAACTGCAAGTCTCAGACACCCTTAAGAAAAGGTATCTAGTGAAGCCAAAGTCACCCGGAGAGATGAAACCAAAAACACTAGAGGAAATTGTTAGCCTCTGAGATCTCCAACAAACATCAAACACATCAAAACTACTAGCCAGAGATACAAAATGTTTACACTAAAGGCCCATTTGACTTAGCTGCTTTTTAAACTTGCTACATCACGTTTAGCATCAATAAAAAGTTACAGGGTAAGGTAAAAGGAAAAATACAATAAACAACTTTGGAGAGAAAAAGCAAGTGTCAGAACCATATTCAAGTAGAGTAGAAAATTTTTAAATAGAAGAACAGGAATTCAAAATAATTTTAGTCCTTAGTACGCTAAGGGTTCTAATGGAGAAACTGGGAAGCATGGGATGACAGATTGATAATGTAAGCAAACGATGAAAAGGCTAAGAAAAAATTAAAAGGAAAAAGTAGAAATTTAAAAAATATTTTAAAATGAAGGATGATTTGGATGGATTCCTCAGTAGATTGGATGATTGCAAGGGAGGAATCAGTGAGCTTTAATGTGTATTAACAGAGTTTTCTCAAACTGAAAAGAAGAGAAAGAAATGAGAAAAAAAGGAGAAAAACATCTAAAAGAGAAAAAGTAGGACGATTACAATAGATATAACTTATGCAAGTTGAAAATATCAGAGAAGAAAGAAAAAGAAGAAAGAAAAAGAGGAAGAGAAACAACTTAAAGTCATAATGACTAGAATTTTCCAAAATTATTAACAGAAACTACACATATGATTCAGGAAGCTTAGAAAAAAATTAAAGGTGCTAAATGTCACAAAATCTAAACCTTGGTGTATCTTATTCCAACTACAAAAATCAAATGCAAAAGAATGATCTTGAAAGCAGCTCAAGGAAAAATTAATTTCCTTCATATAAAACAAAAACAAGGGTAAAAGTTACATTGGACTTATCTTCAAAACCACAAGGAAATCAGAAAAAGGAAGCAAATTAAATAAAAATAACAATAAAAAATAATAAAAATTAACACAAAAGTTAATGAAGTTGTAAACAGAAAATCAATAGAGAAAAATAAATAAAACCTAAAACTGATTATCTAAAAATAATGATTATATTGATAAAAATGCAGGTTAATGGAATAGAGGAGAAAGGGAGGGGGAGAGAGAGGGAGAGAGAGAGATGACCTAAAATGCTTATTCAGTAGTGTGCTGGCTTTAACAAACGTTCCCCAAAGGCCCATGAATTAAAAACCTGCTCACTAGTGTGGTACTGTTGGGAGATGTAGAACCTTTAAGAAGTGAGCCTACTAGATGTAAGTTAGGTCATTGGGGGCATGCCCTTGAAGGGCATATTGGAAGCCCAGTCCCTTCCTACCTTTCTCTCTTTATTTCTGGGCAACCATGAGGTGAGCATCTTCTCTGCTATGCCCTCCTTCCCTAATGTACTGTACTGCCATAGGTAATAACACAAAATAAATCTTTTCCTCCTTTTAAGTTGTTTATCTCAGGTATTTTGTCACAGTGATGCAAAACTGACTAACCCAAAAATAATTCAGTATATCAAACTGAATATAATCTTCAAGATCCTTATTTCATCTAAAACTTAAAACTAATACTAAATCGAGTCTAGTACCGAATGTTCCTTAGATACCTAGAGCTTCCATGCCTGACAGAATAATGGAACATTAATCACTAAGGAAAATTTTAGAGTCACATACATTTTGTCTCTTATTTTTCTCTGGTTCAGAGAAGATATACATATTTGTATCCAATAATAAGCACATATATTTTTATTTTTGTTTGCTTTTTATACAAATAAAATATAATATGCTGAAAGAGTATTTCTTCAATGTTCTATGTGGTCCAGAAATTTCAGTAAAAGAAATTTCAAGCCAGCTTGAAAATACTCCATGAAATAATTTCTGAGAAATATGCATGCAAATAAAATAATATATAAATACTTTATACAGTTTTATTTAGAAATTGAAACTATAAAAGGTTTTTACTATTTTTTCCTCATTTTTATTTTCCAAATCTCAGAATTATCAAAACCACTGGGCCAGTACTTATAATAGACATCTTAAATGGTTTAACCACAAAGAATATTATGTACAATGTGCTTCAAAAAGTCTCTGTAGAAGTCAGCCACTGTATTTTGTCTATAGCCTTAAATAATATGCCTCACAAATCTTCCTGGGATGAAGTAAATGGTATAGTAATTTTGAAATATTATTTACCTAAATGTTGTATGGATGGAATATTTATTGAATCCCGTGGCACTAAGTTTTTGAAAAATTGCATTCTTACATTTTTAATTATCACATATACTATGATAAAAATTAAAATTCATGCACTTCACTTTTTTGTCTTGAGACAGTGAACTAGAATATGCTAAGTTGAATTAAATTAGAGTGAAAAATATAGTTGAATTATCTATGTTTAATTCATCTAGTTTTTATTTTATTTTAGCTACTTATTCTTGGTGAAAAACTGCCAATGGCTAATAAAATTAAAATTCAGATGATTCCCCCATTAAAAATTAGGAAGCTGGACATTCTAACATTTAAAATTGTTGTGAACATATTATTAAAAAATTCAAAGTTTTTTTTTTATGTTCTTTTTGGAACCTAGTAATTTGAATCACAATGGAAGTTTTGGATCTGACCTTTATAGAATTTTCCCATTTTATGTGGAGATTTTTAAACTTCAATTTTTAAAATTACATTTCCCTAAAAAAATTATAAATCTTTTAAAATGTTTTTTGCATTTATGTTAATGTACAAAAAGTATGTAAAGGTAATTAGAAAATTATGAAACTAAACTTAATATAAAAAATAATGTCAAAATAAAAAGAAGAAAGAAAGGAGAATCTAACAGAGGTTGCTGAGCAGTAAAAGTGATACAGACTTTGTTCTGGTAAAATGTATAGGGCACAAATAATAAATCAGTTAAAATGTAATTTTGATGGTAAGAAACAATAAGGCAAAAAAACAGAGCAAATGTTTTCTCTGATATGTGGATGGTGGGGGAGTGAATGGAGCATGGGAAGAATAGAGGAACTTTAGTAGGGCAAAGGGGAGGAAGGAGAAGTGAGGGGCCATGGGGATAGGAAAGATGGTGGAATGAGATGGACATTATTGCCCTAGGTACATGTATGAAGACATGAATTGTGTGACTCTACTTTGTGTACAATCAGAGATATGAAAAAATGTGCTCTATATATGTACCATGAACTAAAATGCATTCTGCTGTCATGTATAACAAATTAGAATAAACAAATATTTTTTTAAAAATGAAACACTATAAAGAAGACATGAAAGGATAATGGATGGAGGTGACATATAAGCTGAGACCTAAATGAAAATAAACAAACATCAAGATATAATATTTGGAAAAAATCTTTTCCAGGTAGCTAGGATTTTTAATGCAAATGACCTGAGGCAGAAACAGGCAAATATGGATTAAAGTTTTAAATGAAGTACACAGATACAAGACAGGATGCAGGAAGGGACCAGATCACTTGTTCAAAAATGCATTTATATTCTATTCTAAGTGCTCTTAACAACTATAATCAGAATTCCATCATGGTCTTGATTACATGTTAAAATTATCTCACTGTAGCCTGAAAACTGCTAAGATTTTAAGGAGTGGCAAACAGGAAGCAAGAAAACCAGTTAGAAATACTGTGGAAGAATAAACAAGAAGGAAAGGGAGGTTATATGTAACAGCAATGGAGGTCTAAGCATGAAGCTCAATTAAACAAGATTAACAAGAAAACATTGTACTCTCTCTAAGTAGAACTTCAGATATTAACTTTCTAAATTGTCATACTCGTATTTGATCGATTCCAAAAATCCTCATAATAGCTAAAACTTACAAATCTGCTACCTTGACATGAAGAAGATTAAAACATGTCTCCTTGTTTCTACTCTCTCCTCTTCCTTCAAATCCCAATGAATCACTTGACATTCCTGGTTTATTGCTGTTACAACAAGCCAATGCCAACAACTGTGTAAAGCCACATGTGTTTCGGGGATGGATTAGGTCCTAAGGGGATGGATTAGGTCCTAAGGAATGATTAAATGTGGATTGTGTAAAGCTCAGTGGTTAGAGTGCTCTCCGAACATGGGTGAGTTACTGGGTTTGATCCTCAGAACCATATACAATCAAATAAGTAAAATAAAGGGTAAATTCTTAAAAAAAAAATAGATTGTTCCATCTTAGAACAACATGCTAACAAGAAGACATTATCACTGGAAATACAATTCAAAAAAGAAAAGGAAACATCTGCTATCTGATGAATACTAACCCTATCCTGAGATTCTTCATGTGAACTTACACTTTGTAGACTTTGGATCCCTAGATCAACATGGGGAAAGTATTTATGGAATCTGTTTCTAGCATAAGCGCTGGGTGCATTGAAGGATAAGTTGACATTGCAATGAGTATTGTGGCTTCAATTACTATAAAATTATCAGTCTATTTTTAAAGACCAAAGTGATTCTCCCTTATTGAAAAGAAGAAATTAGAAACAGAGCATCGAAGTGATTTTGTACAGGTCACATCCCAAGTTAATTGGATAGTTGGTAATAGAACCACAACAACTGATCCTTGAAATCCATCACTGGAAGATCATGTTCTCTTTTAGAATGAATGAAATAAGTCTCCAAATGACATATATTATTAGCTCTCTTACTATTTTTTTGCCTTTATTTTTTAATCAGCTTTATTGAGGTGTAATTTATATACAAGAAAATACACCCAGTTGACTTGTGCAGGCCAATGAGTTTCTAGAAATAATATCACCACAATCGATTATGGAACAATTTCACTGGGTTTAAATGGCTCCTACAATAATTTGCAGTCATGTCTCTCTCCCT